GCAATTTCTCAAGGGGATAAAGAGCACTCCTGTTCATTTTACACCAGCGAAGACATTTCAGTACTATGTATCATACGTATTGGCTATTTTTTCTAAGCTTGAAAGATAAGTATTATAAATTATCCTCTTATTAATATAATTGCATATTGCCTATGTTGTAAAATGATCCTCCCTATCATTTTCTACCGTGGATAAAACTATACATTACCACTGCAATTACTTTGTCTAGTGAGGTTACCACGCTTATCGAAGGAAACAACATGTCTCCCCAGACTCTTAAGATGTGTTCCACTCCAGATCTCTGTGACACCGCTTCACCTTAACTCCCAACCCAGCCCTGCTCTCTGCCGGCTCTGTCGGTCTGGGGCCAAACCTGCATGGTTATCTTCTCTGCAGGCCCTGTCCATGTCTGCAAAGAGACGGATTCCTGCTGACACCATGGGGACCCCAGGGGGCTCTGCCTGAACTCCTGCAATTCTGCTTACGTCATCTGCACAAACAACAGTTACATTTCCTCAGCACTCCTGATTTCGGAATTGTTTTGAGGTGCTACTAAAGCCCATTCTTACAGACAACACTAAACCTGGCCCACACGTCCGACAGTGCGGGACTGTTTGCATTTCCAGCAAAAAAACCCAGAGTATTTCAGACACTTTTAAAAGCATTTTTAGTGGATGACATAACTTTAATCATTACTGTACGTCCTGAGCATGTGCCTGCGTTATTCCTCGTTTGTAAGCTGCAGTTCGTCCTCACGCTGTCGCACAACGGCACAAACAGGGAGCGCTGCTGGCCCAGCGCAGGAGCTGAGCGGGACAGCACTGACCAACAGTGAGCCTGCTTGAAAGAAAACGGCCGAGGAAAACTGAAAGCAAATAAAATCTCCCCGTTAGCAGACAGAATTGCCCATTCTGCACGCAGCAGAACTTGAGAGCTCGAGTCACTTCGTGCGCCTTGAATTCTGCCTACATTCCACAGCCCGCTCTCATGGCAGAAATGCTTTCCCTCTCTCTCCCTCCCTTCTCTGTCTCTCTCTCTCTCTGGAAGAAAAATAACCTCCATGAAAATTAGACACATTTATTAATAGGAAGCCTTTGTATTATTTTGAATATAAAACACAGCTGAATCAGGAAGCATCACTCTCAGTATTAAGCTCGTGTGAAAGAATTTACAAAATCTGGGGGAGTTAACATTTACACAGCAACAAGGTTTCCCAGCACTTTGTTTCCTTCCTGCTAGGTACACGCTGCTCCACGTTGCTCTGACACAGAAAGTACAGACATAGGCAAGGAAGGACTCAAAGATGAAGAATGGTACAAATAAGCACCAGAAATATATCGCAAGTACTTCTTTGATAGCATCCAATAATGATGCTAAAACAATGCCTGACGTGCCTTTAAGAATCTAACAAAAATCTACATACTCCTCTTTCCCACTCTAAGCAAAACTGAAAATGCATTAATGAAAAATTATGAAAAACGAACTGTGAGGCTCGTTATGCTGTTCCCTGAATAAATGACCGCCTTTACAGCCTTTATTTTCAAAACTAGAATAAGAACATGGGTCTTTCTAGAAATTATATTTATTTTGAGTAGATATAAAAATGTAACCTGAGATGCTTTTTGTTCGTGGCATAGACACATTTAAATATCAGCAGTAACTGGGGCAAATCATTACGTAACAACGAGTAGTGAGGAGAAAACAAAGCAGAAGAAAAGCAGGATCAGAAAAAAAACAGAGAAAAAAGGAACATACAAATGGAAAAGAAATGTAATATTAATATTAACGTTTTACAGCAGGAAGCATTGTTACGAGTGACACAACAAATAAATTCATTTAAGCAAATAACCTGAGTATAACTACGTAAAACAGCTATTTTTGAGAAGCGTTCATTCTAAAGGTTTCAATTTATCAGGGAAAAAAAAAACTTCTGTAGAAAAAGTTGTGAATGTAAGGTTCCAAATGAGTATCGATCCTGCAGTCTGGCAAAGGTCTCATTAAATTCAAAGCGATTTTGTTTGACTCAGGTTTGCAAGAGTCCGCCCTCCCGGTGCCATTGTTCTGCTCCGTATTTTTCCCTAAAAGCCCCACAAGCAAAGGTATTGTGTCCCTCAAAACAGCACATCTTAGAAAGTAAATACTTCACATGAAATCAACAGACCAGTATGTGCTTTTCAAGAAAAAAAGTTGAATTGCCCCGTTATAAAAACAGCACAGAACACATGCACAGCAAAACGCAGGTTCTACTGATAGACCGGCGGTGCTTTTGTGATCAATTAGATTTATCAGGCACCTCTGACTGCTTCAAACTGTGCTTGGGCCACTAAGCCGTCTCCCCCAGGATTTACTCTAACATTCCAAGCACAGGGGTAGCACCAGACAGACAACAGCCAACATTTTTATTAAAAAAAAAAAAAAAAAAAGACAAATATTTGCAGCCTCCCCCCCTAATGCCAAATGCCCTCATCCCAGGATGGGCAGGAATCGTTGCTGACCCAGTGAAAGGTTTAAGGTCTGATATCTGACCCATCAGAAGCTTGCTTTCATTAGAAAGACGAGACAGCAGCTCTCCAAAGATACACACAGAGCACTTGATTATAGTCCTGGGAGTTCTGGAGAAATCTGACCTTTAAATTACATTACTACATACAGAAAATCTATTTAAAGTACATTTCAGCAACTAAGATATTTCAGTAATCTTCATTCTCCCTCTTCTATTTTTTTCCAGAGATCTCTAAGCAGGACTCCAGTAACAGAAAGCACCTGATGTTACTGATAGTGCCCTTCTGCACCGACGCCGTCCCAGCTCTGCACCCCGGCACGCCGCTCAGCACCGGGCAGCTCTGGGCCGGCTGTGAGCAGGAGATGGCTGAGCAGCCGCCGCTGCTGCACTGCTCCTCCGCACTGACAAAACCCATCGCCTGCATCGTGCCGCCGCGGAAGCAGCCCGCGTGCCTTTATGGCTCTTTTGTACTTCAGCTATCGCAAAAGACGGTTTCTCCATGCTAAAACACTGCGGAGAGGAAAAGCACGCAAGCGATGTCAACGTTTGCTCTTTTGGGCTAATAAAATTTCAGAGAAAACAAATTTGGATGTACCGTGCCTCCCCTCCCCTTTCCGTGAGCTCCTTCTGCTGTCAGTCCTTGGGGGCACACACAGCAGGCCACCATGTAATGTCACACTAGGTGCTGGGATGCAACAAAGGCCAACATGTTGATATCTTTTTATTGCTCGTCAGCCTGCTTACCCCGCTCCCCCTGAACAATCGGACCCCTTTGATAACACAGAAATTTCTGAAGAAGTTACATTTCTATTTGCAGTCAAAGAAGTTTCTCTCCCCCCGAAGCAATACTCCTATCACCTTGGTTTCCGACTTACAAACTGTTATCCTTATTTTTATAGAAACTAAAAGATAGGGCTGAAGTGATACATTCGTTTATAAGCATAAATATTTATATTGCCAAATAATGCCCTTTGTTTGTTTGTATGTTTTTCAGGTAGACTAACAGCCACTTTAAATTCATTCTCCATTAAGAAAAGTTCCTAAGGTAATATTGCCTACACGGGCAGAAGTTTCACTGACCTCCCAGTAGAGCCACTACGGTGTGTTTTATTTTGTGTAGAAGTCAAATGCAAAGGATGTGGAGGTGCTTCCCTAATAGCAGCCCGAGAAAACACAAATATTGCTAAAGCTTCAGCCCCACAATGGCAGGACTGCGGCAGAGCAGAGGAGAACTCTGGTTTACTTTCATGTGAAGTACCCAGGCCCGTGGAAGATTCTTTAATAGCTTGCTGGTAAGGGCTGCAGTATGAAATAACACGTTTTGTTGTAATTCCTAAACAGGGGGACATTTATCTGGGCCATTTATACAAGAGTTATAACCCTAACAATATTTATACTCAGCATGTCATGTTAGCATTTACTACCAGTTTCCATGGAGATGGATTTTCATGCTGTAGCTATGAAATGCACATTGTTGCCACTAAGCCACTTCAGGCCTTTCTGGAAGCCTGCTGAATGCCTGACAAAAGTTGATGCAAACCAATAGTTGTTGTTCTTTGTTTGTTGCCAGACTTCTAGCAGAGCCATATTATGTCCTAGTGATTGAAGTGCCCATGTTCGCCCCCCTCCCGGCACAAAAAGGATCCTCAATTTCGGTGACAAGCATGAAGTGGGCTTCTGCAGGGGAGGACAAACACCACGCAGGGCCGGAGCTCTGTCTCCGCACAAGGACACGGCGCGGCGGGGGGCCTCTTTCCCGACAAAGCCTGACATTTTGGGGACAAAGTGTAAATAAAATAAAGCGCGGGGAGCGCCCGGGCCCGCGAGGAAGGAGGCAGCGCCGGGCTCCTCCTGCTCCGCCCGGCCGTGGTGCCACGGTCGGCGCCAGCCCCTGCGGGCACGGCCACTCTCACCCCCGCACAACCCGCACGGCCCCGCGCCCGCTCCCCGTCCGCCGGGCAGATGCGCCCCGACGGCCCCGCAAGGTCACCTCGGAGCTCGCCGCCCGCACGCGGCTCTCCGGGCTCCTCCCGGCCGGGTCGGCGCCCGGGCGCGGCGGGAGGGACGCGGCTCCCAGGGCCATCCTAAGCAGCGCCGGCGCCGCGGGCGGTTACGGGACGGGTCTCGGCCTCGGACGGACGGAGCCCACCGGCCCGGCTCCCCGCGACGGTGCCCCCGAAAGCCGCGTGGGACAGCCGAGCGGGCCGCAACGAGCTGCCCCCTCCGACGGCATCGCGGAGCGCAGCGGGTCCAAACGCGAGGACGTTTGGACTCCGCGTTATTTCAGCGCAACGCTCATTTCCAGGCGGCCGCTCCGCCCCGGCGCTGGGGTCCCCGCCGCTCTCGGCAGCCCCGGGCGCTGCCCCGTTTCAGCGGCGCTTTGGGCGTCCGCTCGGAGCCTCGCGGCGCTTCTCCGGGCCGGGCCGAGCCGCGCCGCCGAGCCGCGCCGCGCCGAGCCGAGCCGGTCCGGGCCGCGTCGGGCGCACGGTGCTCTTACTGTTGGTAGTCCTGTTTGCAGTAGAGCTTTCGGTCCCGGAAGTAGCAGCTGGTGGTGAGGGCTTGCTGACACACCGCGCACTGCAAACACTCCTCGTGCCAGGAGGACTCGTTCACCCTCATCAGAAAGCGATCCGAGATGGGCCTCTGGCAGCCTTCGCACACGGCCTGGTGCGGGCACTCCGACCCTGCGAACGGCAAAGCGCGGCGTGAGGCGGCGGGACGGCCCCGGCCCCGAGCTCGGCAGCACCGCGCGGAGCGGCCGCTCCCGGCGCGCGCCCCGAAGTGTCACTCAGTCCCGCGCCTGCAACCCGCGGTCAGCCCCGCACGGCGTAGCCCGGGACGGCGCGGAGCCGCGGAGCGTCTCCTCTGGGGCACGGCCGAGGAGCGAGCGGGACTCACCCAGTAACACTCCGAGCGTGGCCGGACCCGAGCGCAGCGGGTGATCTTCCATCTTGATGCCGTCCAGCATCTTGGCGCAGTCGTTCGGGCCGCGCGGGAAGCACCTCTCCAAGGACTCGGGGCCCGAGGCGATGTCCATATGGGGCGGCGGCGCGGGGGAGCCGGGGACTGCGGGGCCGCGCACCCCGCGTCGGGCCGAGCGCGGGGCGCTGCGTTGCCAGGAGGAGGGAGCGCTTTTACTTTTATCTGGGAGACATGAGGCGCGCTTCCTGCCGGCGCTTCCAGAGACGGGGGGCAGAGGAGCGAGCCGGCGCCGTGCCCATGGGGCGGCCGCGCTACACGGGCGCGCACATTGCCGCGCACACGGCGCGGGACGGCCGCGGTGTCACCTGCTCCCGGCAGCGCCGAGCCCCACGCCCGCAGGAGGGCCCTCCCGGGGCCGGGCCGGGCGGAGCGGTGGGGCCGGGCGGCGGCGGGGCTTCCCGGCGCTCCGCAGCCCCTGTGCCATGCGGCGTCCCGAGGAGCCGCGCCGTTTAGAGCAGGGGCCGCGGCGGAGGAACACACCCCCCGGCGCCTCACCCCTCCTCAAACTTGCTGACATTTGAACTCCATTGGTGCGCGCAGTATCGCTGCGCAGCGGTGATCCGTCTCCTCGACGTCAAATAGTGCCCTGGCCCCGGCGGGCCCCCGCAGCCCCCGAAGCGCGGCGGCGCCTGGGGCGCGGGGCGGGAGGGCTTCGCGCACCCCGGGGCGGACCGGTCTGGCTCGCCTCTGCTCGGCTGAGGGGCGCAGACCGGGTGCGGAGCCGGAACGCGCCCCGGGCTGGGGACCGGGGACCGGGGACCGGGAGGAGAGAGCGCGGCCGCCGAGGAGCGCGGCGGAGCGGCGCCCGCAGCCCCGAGCCTCAGCTCCGCCGTGCCGCGACCGGCCGGGCGGCAGCCGAGAGCCGGCGGCGCGGCCCGACGGCGGCTCCTGGCTCCTGCCCAGCGGTACGTAGCTGCGCCGCTTCCCCCGCTTCTGGCGTCCCCCGGCCGGGCGCGGGCAGGTGGCGGCGGGGCCCGACCACGACGGGCAGCCCTCGAGCGGGAGCCTCCGGGGCCGCGCCCGATTCCCGCGCTGGCACCTGAAGGGGCCGGAGTCGCCTCGCCGCTGCCGCCCGGGCCCGCGCCGGTCCGGAGCTGAGAGCCGCTCCTGGCTCGGAGCTCCGCGCTGCCCGAGGGAGCGCCCGGCGGCCCCGCGTGTCCCCCGCGGCACCGCCCGGGGCTGAGGGTGGCGGAGCGCCCCGCGCTGTGCCCCGGAGGGCTCCTTGCGCCCTTCGTACATAATGCTTCGTGCCGAAGGCTTCGGATGTGCTGTGCTTTTTCGTACTCTTAAATGCAAAAGTACTGAAACGCGTAGATGCTCCGTGTTTATACACACAATGCGTATATTTGCACACAATATGCATGTGAAAAAACAAAAACAAAAACAAAAACAACATATTTTAATATAATGCGCTCTTCTGTTTTCTTGTTCGGAACCGATCCACGAATAGCGAGACGCACCGATCTCCGCACGCGGGACAAAGATCTCCCGAGCTCCCGGGCTCGCGCTTTCCTTTCGTTTTTGTTTCTCTGCTGATACTGTTAAAATTTAAATCTGAGGAAATAAAAATCTGGAAAGGATTCTGCGCGGGATTCTTAATGTGACCCGTGCTATGCTGTGACCCCGCTGAAGGAAGAGAGTTTATTTTGTAATGCTCCTCAAATGTTGATATTTAATAAGCAGGACAAGTGTTAACCTGAATTACTTAATGCGTCTTTTTCTGGGTCTTAAGATAAAGCCTTTTCCTGCTCATGCAGAAACAGCTCTGAGTGAAATTCGTGATTTAGTCAAATATTTTGGAAAGGATTTTAAGTGATAGAGACTATTTTATTTTTATTCGGGACATTATAAATCTGAAAACCTTTGTAGCTAATGCTGAAAAAATAATATACGATTATTCAATTCTGAGATCAAGATAAAAAGCTGCTTAAATTTCAGACTTCAATCGGAGGACAGAAAAGCATCTCATGTACACTAATTTTCTTTGTTACCTCCTTATTTTCGTGTAAAGATTCGGTTTCTCCACCACATTGGGCTTTCCCCACTCTTACGACTACGAGGACAATCAGAGCCCTACTTTTCTCTCCGCAATAGTTTTCGTAAATTCTCATTAAAAAAAAAAAAATCAAAATCAAAATCAAAAGGGACCAACCAACCAAAAAAGAAAAGATAAGTAAAGAAACAAACAACAAACAAACAAACAAAAAAAACAAAAAAAAAAAAACCAAACGAAAATAGCGAAGCGATCGTGCGGTGGGGCCGTGAGGAGCGGAGCGGGAATTCAACATCCTTGCACCCCCGGGATCCATTCCATCTTTGTTCTTCGGCTTTCACTCACAAATATCGCCCTAAAGATGGGTTCCCTCGCGCCGGCTGCTCCCATCCCTGCCCGCTGCCCCGAGAGCCATTCGATGAGGTGTTACCTTCGGTTTCCAAAGTGCTTTTAACGAAAAAACAAAATACAATTAAAACACCCACGCGCAAAACCATCACAGAAATAAAACCAAGCCGAGCCCCGCAGCCCCACCTTCCGCGGCTTGCTTCTAATTCGGCATTTATTTGCAAGACAAATCTTTTTGTTTTGAGGTGTTTTGTTTTAATTTGGAGAGCACAGCGGCCAAACACCGCTCCGTGTTTCCCGAACGAGGCGGCGGAGCGGAGAGAAGCGGCGCGGAGCTGCGGCCACCACGAGAGCTCCGCGGCCGCATCAGCCCCGCTCGAAGCGCCGCTCCGGGCCGCGGTCGGACCCCGTGCGGGACCACGAGAGCTCCGCTCGGCGCTGTGCGCGCGTTCGGGACATCGTGAGGCCCCGCGTTACTCGAAGGGACGGAGACAGAGGAGCTCCGCGATTTTTCTGCCTTAAGAGCGCGGTCCCCGGGCGGTTGCGAGGATGTCCGCGCGTTGTGGAGTGTGCGGCCCGTCCGCGTTCGCGTGTTCTGCTGAGTTCCCGGCTGGGGGCGGGCAGGCGGGCGGCCCCGAGGGCTCGAGGAGATCCCCGCGGGACGGGAATTGGCTGCGCCGGCAGTGCGGGCGGCCTCGCGAGCGGCGATCGTGGGCCCCGGCTGCGGGTGAACTTCCCGTGGCCGCTGGAGGCGACGATCGCTCCGCGGCCCGGCCCGGCCCGGCCCGACCCGGCCCGGCCCGGCCCCGAGCGCAGCCTGCCCCCTGCCGGCGCGCAGAGGCACGACCCGGAGCGCCGCGGGAGCTGCGGGGCCGGGAACGGACCGGGGTCAGCCGGGGCGAGGCGAGCTCGGGACTCTCGTGGTCGGCGGACGCGATCCCGGGGCTGCCCCGCGCGGAGCTGCCCGCTCCGCTCGTTCCCGTTGCCACTGCCGTGCGACAAGCGGAAAGTGATGGGGCTGCGGGGTTCGGCTGCTTTCTTTGTTTTTTTTCTCCCCTCGCAGCGGCGCTGCGCGCCCCGCACGGCCTCGGCATCGACCATCGCTGCGAGGGGAGCAGCCCGCTGCGGGGCGGTCCCGACGGGGGCAGCTGCGGCCCGGGCACCGGCAGGGGGGAGCCGGCGGAGGCCCCGAGCCGCCCCGTCGGGCCCTGTGGCTCTGAGCCGCTCTGCCGTCCGCCCTCTTTTTCGCAGCGCACTGCGGGGCCACTCGGAGCGGCTGGCGGGTGCGCCCGGCGCTGACGGATGTAGCCCGCGCTGCCTCCCTCGGAAGGATAAATGTAAGCGAGCCGCGAAGTGTAGTTACCGCTAACAATAACAATAAATTACCGGGCTGCCTCTCGGTGGCACAAACAAATGATTTCTGCGCAGAATGCGGTGCCTCCCCGAGCCTCGAAGCCACCCCTCCCCGGGGCTCGGGCCGCAGCCCCTGCAGCAGGTGGGGGACGACGGGGGGGACGCCCGTTGCCCGTAGGGGGCCCGGGACCGGCGCCCCGCGGGATGTCAGAGGGCCCCACCCGGGGGCTGCGAGAACCGTCGGCAGAGAGCGGTCCGGGCCGCGCCGTGGGGAAGACGGAGAGCACCGCGCCGCCGCTTTAATTAAGCAGGATCTCTTTGATATAGGCAGCCCGATGCTATCTCTGTTGTTCCCTTCTCGGCAGCTTTTGGGTAGGAAAATTGCTGAGGAAGCGGCATCGCACGGGGCCGTGCAGCGCCAGATCGCCCCGGGCAGGTCCCGGTGCGTGCGAGTGCGCGGCGCGCTGGGAGTTCCAACCCCGCCGAGGTGCGGTGCGCGTTGTGTGTATTTTCGGGGGGCCTGGAGGAACGAGAGTCAATTTACCATGATTAAAGGCACAAGCAAGAAGGCGCCACGCATTTGCATGTGCCTTCATCTTTTTTAAGTGGATTTTTGAGGGCAGCGTGGCAGACGAAGCCGGGCCCATCGTCCTCTCCCCGCCAGCGGAGCGCCTCCCGCATTGCTGAGCGCCGCAGGCCTCGGACCCTCCGCCCGCCCGAAGGAGCGGCGGCCTCGGGGCCCGTCGGGGCGGTCCCGGCTCGGCGCGCAGCTGCTCCGCCGCCCTCTCTCCCCGCCGGCGCGGGCACGGGTCCGCGGGAGGCGCCAAGTCAGCCCCACGCAATCGGCCCCGTCCGGCGACAGGCGCGGCCCCGCGTTGCTTTCCCCGCGCCGCAGGCAGAAGGCTCGCCCGGCGCTGGAACCGCCGGGACGGGGTTTACCCTCTTACTGGGCCGCGTGTGGGGCACCTTGGCCTCTTCCGACCCGGCCTCGAAGTTCCCCAGGCATTCCCGGCGCATGAGGGTCCGCATCCCGCGCCCCTCTGCCCCGGGAGCTGCCCCGCCCGCCAGCGGCCGCGCTGAGAAGAGGCTGTCGTGTCTGGCCCGGCTCCGGACAGAGGCTGAGCTCGGAGCCCAGAAGCGGCAGCAGCGGAAAACGTGCCCGCGTCCCAACGCATTCTCCCGGCTCCGGTCCCCGCTCACATCACACCGAGCCGGACCCCGACCTCGTCCTGGCCGATCCTCGCCCCCACCATCAATCCGCACTCGCCCTCCCGGGCACCCCGTGTTCGCGAGCGGGGACAGAGTGGGAGGGACGGGGCCCGACGGGACGGGCTGGGCCCGGCTGGCAGCGGCGTGGCGTG